TGTGTGTGTGTGTGTGTGTGTGTGTGTGCACAAATCATCTGGTGTAGACGAATCAGTCGACATTAGTGCACAGATCAGCTGCCTGTGAAATTTTCTTACCGCTCCGGATTCACAAAGGTAATGCTGCGCTCAAGGCCAATGAAAAGCTGGGACATCTGAGGTTTACCAGATTGCGTGTACAATTACGCTATTTAAAAAATGGCAAATATAAGTTGATTCGCTGGTTGACCTCTACTTAAAGCAAGTGTGTGTGTGTGTGTGTGTGGGGGGGGGGGGGGGGTCACCTTCAACAGATGGTGCTTGGTCCTGGGCAGCATACAGCATCTCCTTGAAAGCCTGTAGAAACAAAAGGAGAAAACCTTCAAAATTAAATAACAAAAAATGTTTCTAGAGTTCTACGAAAGATACATTAGAAAAACCAGATTCAGGTGTCTTCAAAGTAATTTATGTAATCGGTTATGTATTGTTTGCTGCCAAATGGCAGAAGGTGGGCAGAAAACATTTTTGCCTTTGTCTATATGTGTGTGCATGTTTGTCTTTTGTTTTAGCAAAAACTGTCATGAATCACTGGACAGAATTGACTGAAATCTGAAGAAAGTCATCTTGGATGCACACCTACAACTGATTTGGAGACAACCCAATTCAAGATAGTCACCAGCGCTAATTCACAATTAGCCACAGAAAAATTACTACAACTCGGTCAATTTTCCAGATATTGCACCAAGTCTAAAACACTTTATCTTTAAGGAATTAGAGATGAAATTCAATTATCTGAATTTTTTTTTAATATCAGAGAAAATAAACAATAAATCACAATAATCGAGCTACAGCAGTAAACACAGATACTGAGAACTGTAAAACACTAAATATAAAGGTTAAATCCAACATGCCTCATAGGATGACAAAAATAACAGCGTAACCTTCCGAAATGTTTTTTTCGCCCCACACATTGAAGTTATTAAACTGTCAACTTTTTTATTGATATGAACACATGCACTTCTGTCTCTCTATCAAGTTGTTGCAGCCCCTTAGGCGGGACAAAGCCTGAAACAAATAAAAATATTATGTTGGGTAAAAGTTGACATGTGGACAAACATGTCAACTTTTTCCCAAAATATTTTTAATTGTAATTTTTTAAAAAGCGCACTTGTAAATACAGCACTGATTCTAAAAAAAACAGCAACACAGAAATCAACTCCAAAATACAGTGTAGTATTTATGCCAGACCATTAATGCTAATAAAGGGTGACAAAATGTCTCCTCGTACCTTGTTTTCAGAATTTAAGCCAAAGTGTCAGTTTGTTGGAGCAACTGCCAAATTGTATTTTGATTCGAATACTGAAACATACAATTCACACTTGCGGTTTTCTTTTTGTTCCATAATTTTTTTGTTTGTGTTCGTATGCTGGTTGTATGTTGGTTTTACACTTTATTTTAGGTGTTTAAGTTACGTGATCCGGCTGTGGTGTGCTAAGCAGATTCAGCTCACACACAAAGCTAATATAAAGATCACTAGTCAGGCGAGTCACCCTTGTTTTAAACTGTTATGTCCCTTGACTTCGTTGTAGTGTTTCCTTTTTTTGTGTGCTTTTTTTTTAGGTGTTCTCGAGTTAGATGAATTGCCGTTGCGATGTTTCTGCAGTGGTGTGCTAAGCTAAGCTAACCAGACGGCTCGGACTGATTCGGATTCAGCTCTTACAAAGCTGAGATCAGGCGAGTTGCCCTTGTTTTAAACAGTGTTTGATTTTAATTTTTTTCTGTTCTTTGTTGTTTTTTTTATGCTGTATTCTATTTGTTTTGAGAACGGAGGGAGCCAGCCTTGAGGTGCTACATAGAGCTTGGGCTAAATTTACAGCTGACTACAACACACCCAAAAGCTGACGTCATCGCTGAGTGATCCACATTATTACCAGTCCAGTTTGACTTCACCATCCCCCATCTAACTCCTAAGCCGTGCATTCCTGCATGTCACAGCCGGACCATTAACCACTTCACTGCTGCACGTTTCACAGACGTTTATAACTCTGAAATGATAATTCAGCCCCTGGTGTTTCTCACCACCACTAAAAAGCTGACATCCCAGTTCAACTCTGTCTGCTTAAAGACTCTGGATCATGTTGCGCCTATTAAAATCAAAGAATCAAAACTCAGAGCAGAACCTTGGCTGAGTGACATCACCAAGGCCGTTAGGCAGCAATGCAGGAGGGCGGAGCACAAGTGGAGGAAAGACAGGCTGCAGGTCTCTTTTCAAATACATAAAGAGAGTTGGCGTCGTTATCAGAAAGTAGTGAAAGCTGCTAAATCCAAATATTTCTCTGATATAATTACCTCAAACTCTCGCAACCCACGTGTCCTCTTCTCCACCCTAAACTCTGTTCTCCACCTCACTGAACCATCACCTCTGGAAGCCTCGACTGAGCTGTGCGACAATTTCCTACATTTCTTTTTGGAAAAAATTGCGACCACCCGAGCTCTCATTTCCCCTCCAACTCATGACCCATCCATCCCACCTCAATCTGTAGCTCCTTTTGACCATTTTGAACCCATCACTCTATCTTCTCTAGAGTAGGTCATGTGCAACTTGAAACCTTCTGGTTCCCCCTTTGATGCGGTCCCCCCTAGACTACTAAAGGAGGTTTTTCCTACTCTAGGCCCGTCCATTCTTGATATAGTAAACAGTAGTTTATCCACCGGAGTAGTGCCAAAATCATTTAAACATGCTGCTGTCCAGCCTCTCCTAAAAAGACCAAACCTTGTCCCCTAAGCCGTGTCCAACTTCCGGCCTGTCTCCAGACTCCCATTTATTTCTAAAATACTGGAGAAAATAGTCGAGTCCCAGTTGAAGTGATTCCTGGAGGATCACGCCATCTTAGAGCTATTCCAATCTGGCTTTAAACCTCTCCACAGCACTGAAACTGCCCTGCTGAAGGTTTATAATGACATCTTCATATCCACAGATGCCGGTGATTCTGTACTGCTCGTCCTGTTGGACCTCACAGCCGCCTTTGACACCATCGACCATGAGATCCTCATTGCTAGGTTGGAGCAGTGGGTGGGCATCACAGGATCAGCCCTCAATTGATTCAGATCTTACCTCACTGACAGATTCTTTTGTGTCCCCATCAAGGATTTTAGTTCTGCAGCGGCAGAGCTTAAATGGGGGGTTCCGCAGGGGTCCATCCTGGGTCCCATCCTATTCTCTTTATACCTGCTGCCACTTGGTGTTATTTTCCGGAAACACAACATACCCTTTCATTTCTACGCTGATGACTGTCAAATTTACTTCCCCCTAAGACACAATGGTACATGCTCTATTCAACCTCTGCTCGACTGCCCGGCTGACATCAGGGACTGGATGGCTTTAAATTTCTTAAGTTTCAATGAAAAGAAGTCTGAAGTCATGTTGTTCCCTCCCAACGACACGATCACAAAACACTGCATCGACCTCTCCACTCTAACCCTGTCAGAAAAACAAAGAGTCACTAATCTGGGTGTGATAATGGACCCTTCCCTGAAACATAACAGTCACGTAAACATGATTGTTAAATCATGTTTCTTCCAACTGAGGCAGCTGTCTAAACTGAAGCCCATATTGTCCAAAAATAACCTGGAGACAGTAATACATGCATTCATTACATCTAGGCTTGATTACTACAATTTGCTCCTGTTTGGTATCAGTCAAACCTCCATTGCACGACTACAACTGGTCCAGAATGCAGCAGCCCGATTCTTAACCAGTACAGGCAAAAGAGAGCACATTGCACCAGTTTTGGCCTCACTGCACTGGCTACCGGTTCACCTTCGCATCCAGTTCAAAATACTACTGTATGTCTACAAATCGCTGAACAGTGTTGCCTCCCCCCATCTCTCTGATCTGCTACAGCCGTGTGTCCCACCACATTCCCTGAGGTCAGCGGACCAGTTGCTCCTCATAGTTCCAGGAACTCGTCTTAAGTGCAGAGGTAAAAGGGCCTTCTCTGTAGCAGGACCAAGACTTTGGAACGAGTTACCTTTGCTTGTCAGACAGGCCCCCTCCCTCTCGGTTTTCAAGTCCCGTTTAAAAACCCACTACTATTCAGTAGCATTCAACACCAGATGATCTGTGTTTTGAACCTGTATGCTCCACACTGGTTAGTCGTCATTATCTGCATTGTTTTTATGTCTATATTCTGATTTACTTCATTTTGTATATTGCTTTGTGTGTTACCTGTTGTTCTGTCTTTACAGCACTTTGGTTGGCATTGTCGACGTTTTAAGTGCTCTATAAATAAAATGGTATGGTATGGTACTTGATCTCCCAAACGTAAAACCAGTCCCACTGTGGTTTTTATTAGTGGTGCACCGATTATCGGCCCCGATTTCCTTAATTTTGGGAAATCGGCCGATACTTGCATGAGAAACCGATTTTACAGATTTTTTTAGTTTTTAACAACAATTGTCTGAACTTAATTTATATTTAGGAGCACTACCTCATGGCCAGTTAAAACAACTTTGTATTGTTTCAAGGATATTGTTCAAGGGTATGTTTTTCAACAAAATAAGATTGGAAAATTGAAGGTGCATTGTATAACACCTGACAGTGTCACTTATGAAACAAAACTGGCAGTGGCGGCTTGTGGACTTTTCACCGGGGGGGCTATAAATAAAAAAAAAAGGGGTTACCACAGAGAATAAAACCTAAATAAATGAAATACAAATAAAATGTTTGTATTATACAAACCGGATTCCAAAAAAGTTGGGACACTAAACAAATTGTGAATAAAAACTGAATGCAATGATGTGGAGGTGCCAACATCTAATATTTTATTCAGAATAGAACACAAATCACAGATCAAAAGTTTAAACTGAGGGAATGTATCATTTTAAGGGAAAAATCTATTGTTTCCAAATTTCATGGCGTCAACAAATCCCAAAAAAGTTGGGACAAGTCCATTTTTACCACCGTGTGGCATCCCCCCTTCTTCTTATAACACTCAACAGACGTCTGGGGACAGAGGAGACCAGTTTCTCAAGTTTAGAAATAGGAATGCTCTCCCATTCATGTCTAATACAGGCCTCTAACGGTTCAATCCTCTTGGGCCTTCTTTGTCGCACCTTCCTCTTTATGATGCGCCAAATGTTCTCTATAGGTGAAAGATCTGGACTGCAGGCTGGCCATTTCAGTACCCGGATCCTTCTCCTACGTAGCCATGATGTTGTGATTGCTGCAGAATGTGGTCTGGCATTATCATGCTGAAAAATGCAGGGTCTTCCCTGAAAGAGATGACGTCTAGATGGGAGCATATGTTGTTCTCGAACCTGAACATAGTTCTCTGCATTAATGGTGCCTTTCCAGA